TCCTCTCTAATTATATAATAGCAATTATATAATAGCTGTGTACCATACCTGTGAATGTAAAGTACCTTGTACCTGCTTTATAGTGTATGGTAGGGACCATGCTATGCAAGAGCTTTGTGATACCAGTTTATTTAAACAAATATGGAGTAGTGGGCTGAAATAATTTAGAACTTTCAGTGGTGCAATTGGACTATACTAAAAATAGAGGTGCCTACCAAACCAGCCTCCAAGAATGGTCTGTTCTTATTAAAGAAAATTATTGAAGGATTCTGAAAAAGTCCTGAGTTATACAGAAAGAGATGAGTAAGCTCAAAATCCTAATGGCCCTGGTATTAAACACTAAGCTTTAAAATTAGCATCAGACAGAGGCTGACAATACACTGTATACACGGACAAACTTTAAAGTTGGTGACAATATTTTAAAAATTGGCAAATACATACTGAAAACCTAATGTGTGCCAGTGCATAGGTGTACTATATTGGATAGCAGTAATGTATAGTCTCCACGTTGTTTTCTAGAGATATATAGTGATGTTTCTGTCAAAGGAGATCTAAAAACCCAAACGTTTATCAAATAATTAGCTATAGAACCAAGTGCAACAGGATTAACTTATGAAACCTGGAGTCAGTCTCAGGAAGAATAAAAAAGGTAGGAGCACTTCTCCCATATTGATGACCTTGAGTAATTCATTTTGTCTTTTAGCTTTCTTATCTGTAAAACCAGAGATTGCCAGATCACTTAGAATTTTGTCTGGCTCTAACACCGTACACTTTTTTAAGGTTATCAATTAGATTCATCCTTATAGGTAAGAAGGGAACAAGTACCACCACTTTCTAGCTAAAAAACTCAAGACAGGCAACTTTAACAATTGCAAACAATGAAACTGTACAAAAATATGGAGCAAAAGGTGCCCTCCAGCTTCTCAGTCCCCTTGTCTGTAATCCACAAGTCAGGCAGACACCTCTGAAACCTATTTCAGTGAAGATGGCTAATGCACAGACCTCTACTGAGGGGCATTTACATCTGCAGTCCAAGAAATTTAAAGAGGAATCCCTTTGTCAGGCACGAATGCCACAAATATAAGATACAATCTACCAGACTGGCTCTTTCCTTGCCCCCATTAGGATAGGTTTTAAATGAGAAAGATTACTCAAAGTCAGGGTATAATCACTGTTTGTATAACCCCAACCATGGACAGAGCATCAAGACGTCTGCTCTTTTCTTCAAAAGCCCTCACCAATCTAGGACATTTTAGGACTCTATTTTCTCCTTCCTTGTTGGGGAAGCCAGTGTATCATCTACCTCTTTCAAAATAAAGAGAGAATTTAATTTCAGCGTGAAAAATGCTTAGAGTCATTAGCTGAAAGGTACATGTATCAAGAAGTCAATTTATCAGCAAATATCTACTACTGAAAATAGTCAAGAACAGGATCAAAAAAGGATCTGAGTAGATAACACAGACATCTCAAAATCTATGCACTTAAATTTACAATTAACTGGGCTCTCACTCAAAGTCCATTTATTATTTCAGAAATAACTCAAACAGTGAGGAGTAGTAGGAGAGACGAAGCATTAGAGGCAAAAAGGTAAGGACAACAAGGGACTGCTGTCCCCTCAAGGAACAGGTTAGAAAACTTAATATCCAGCAATAAGAAAGTATAGTCCTAGTAATTTGAAGTAACACAGGGTATCTAATAAGGCAAACGTTCATAACATGTTAACATGAAGGAAGGTCACAAAGAGAATGTAAGACAAGATTCCAACTTAGTTTAGCAGAACAAAACAAATAAAAGTAGACAAAACAACAATTCTGGTGAGATCCCCTACCTTATGTCAGGCCAGCATTTTATCTTGTCTGGACCAATGCAATGGCCTCCAAACTAGTTTCCCGGCTTCCCTCTTACTTCCTTACCACCTGCTTTTTCACATAGTGACCACAGCTTTCTAAAATGTAAGTTCATTATAAGCAAGGAGACTTCCTCTCTGAAACTTTTCATGCGAAAAACTCAGGCTGGATTTTAAATCCTTTTAACTGGCTTACGTGGTCCTTCAGGATGCTATCAGCAGACCTGCATCCAGCCTCATACATTTTGCTCAAAAAAAATACCAAACTGCTTTCAGAAGCCTGGGTCTCCTGACCCTAAGCCTTGTACATGCCATCCCCTCTTCTAAGAATACAAATGTAATTCAACTTCTACAAATTTATCCTATAATTATTGATACACTAGTACATGTTCCCAAAGACCTGTATGCAAGGATATCTACTAGAGTATCTTTCTCTAACAGTAAAAGGTTGAGAACAACTCAGATGTCTGGAATTATGTATACAGTATGCTACCATTTTTGTTTTTAAAAAAAGATATACAAACACATGTTTCTATATGCACAGAATTTTCTCTGGAAGGATATATGAAAAACTGACAATATTGTTATCTGTAGGGAAGAAAACTGGGGAATTAAGAGATGGATAGACATTAGTACTTTTCACTAATACCATTTGAACCATTTGAAATGTATTTCCCCATGTATTTGTACTAAATGTGGCAGTTACAGAAAACGTGTTGTATAGCACAATTACATTGTCTTTAAAATTCTATTATATGGTGCCAATTTATCAAAGTGCAGGGAAAAAATCCAAAAGGGAACACACTAAACTATTAATAGTGTTTACCTCTGGGGAATGAAAATAAAAGGGTTCTTTAAGTTCAATTATTAGACTCTTCCAAAGAATGAAACCAAACATTACTCGAGCGATATAAAAAAGTTTAAGAACAAATTTAAGTGAGGGAAGTTTTAAGAATTGCCTCTGCAACCTCAATTCCCTCTAACACTTGGGCAGACAGATGGCTGCCAGTATCCTCCTCCTGCCTGCACTTCTGCAATAGGTGCAGCTCTAGCAAAGCTCTTGATCTATTCAAGAAGTCTAGACTTTACTGCCAGAGTGAACTAGGCAAAAACTCCTTTCAGTATTTCATTGCATTTATGAGAGAACTTTAGTACTACTTTCTACTATACTGGGTTCCTTTTTCCCTTTAAAAATCATGTTAACAGGTAATAGGAAAAAACACAGATAAACATGAATATAAACCTATAGATTTTGTAGAAACATTCTGATTTATATGTACAGTCCCCACCTTGTATATACACATATTTATTACTCTTACACAAGAGATCATATTGTGCATACTATTTGATAATCTTCTTTGTTTATGTAGTATGTCTCAAAAATCTTCCTATTTCAATATATTTCCATACATAATGGTTGTGATATTCTAACATATAGGTGTATTTTAATTTGATCAGTCCCCTATTGCTGAATATTGTTATTTCCAGATTTTAGAAATTCCACTTTACCAAATTAAAAAAGGAAAAATTTATTTTCATTATAATTAACTATGCTAATACAAAGTATAGAAATCCAAGAAAAGTCACCCCAAACCTAACCACCTTCGCACTACTAGTCTTTTTAGTAGTTGAACATCATTCCCAACATGGGGTAAGACCTCATTTACTTAATTCATTTCTCTACTGCTCAACAGATTTTCTGATTAATTTTATTTCCTAATCCATAAAGTCCCAACTTAGTTCACTGAACTCTTATATTACCTGGTAGTCATCACTGTTCAGTTTAATGCAAAATATACACAATGACCAACTACTGCTGAAGTGTTTAGATCACTTTCCCTCTATATAGCACACTGTAGTTACAGTTACATACATATCTCCCCACAACGATACTTCATTTAACTGCCATAAGCCTGTAACAAGGTAGATTCATTATTTTACAAATGAGAAAAAGAAGGCACAGAGTCACCCACTAATAGACTTGCCAAAGGTCATATAGCAATTAAACTTCACTGCTAAGACTTGGTACGCTAACAGAATTAAAATAAAATTTCATGCTTCTTTTATATTTCCTGATACCACCTAGGTCAGGGTCTCTCCTACAGAAAGCCTTTCACAACATCTTTCACCAACCTCTCTAACTGACCCTTGCACCCTGAACATACTTATCAGTGTATTAAGACCACTTATTTACAGATCTCTTGCCCCATACTCAAGACCACCAGGAAAAGGATCCTTTTCTTATTCATCTTTGAATCCCCAGTACCTAATGCAGTGCCTGGCACAAAGTAGAAAGGCAAGGCAAGTTTTCAGAGTACAGACTGACCACACTGTAAATGTTCAATAAGTACTGCAGACATTTAGAGCACATCTATCTGGGTTGACCCAATTCACATCATTTCAGAGAAAGTCACACTTCAGGACATCTAGAACCAATTAGGTTTAAATATAAAATGTACATTCAAAGAACAAGCATTATCAACATAGAAAATGCAATTCTTAAGTGCCACTTACATTAAGAGCAATACATACTTTTAAATATACTTAATTATAAAACACACAGAACAATTAAAATTTGAATCATTATCTTAGGAGTCACAAGGTCCCCAGCTTAGAATTTAGTCATTTCATTATGACTCTGACTTGAAGAGAGATGAGGTAGGAGTTTTAACAAAATCAATTTGTTGTTAATTATGTTTGAGTTAGTATGACACTTGTTTTCAAAATTCCGTTTAAGAGAATTTAGTTTTAGATCTGGTTTTGCTCACTGCTTTCTCTTTTCTTTTAAATTGAAAGTCTTAAATCATTGGAATGGTCTTGATGACAATATTTCTGACTTGATCCAGCCATCTATAACTGCCTACCAATGTGTGCAGAGCTATAGTGCATGTTAGGAACATGTATGTAACAAACATCATTTAACTTCTATATTCCATAATAGGATTCTACAGGGAACAAGGTATGGAGCTGTTACATTGCTCAAAAGTATTGCTTCTTGAATGTTTCCACTGTAGTATCTATACAAACAGCACTTCCCAATCTCAGGCACCCATTCCCCATTTTGTCAAAGACCTGTGTTATCTTAGTCATGCAGTTTGCATTCTGCTCCTAAAATATGCATTTGTTTTAATGTAAAAATTTTTAAATTACTTACCAGTTAAATTACTTAACTCACCGCCCCCTCAATGAGCACAACTGAAGCTCCAAGAAGATGGGTCATGTTTATCTTGTGGCTTCAAGTACCCCGGAACATACCACTTTGTACCCTAAGGGTATTCATATCCCAGTTTGAGAAACAGGGATCTAAACAATTAAATAGCCATAATACTTAAAAGTGACCAACATGTTCCTATAAGCCCATTCCCCAAACTCTTAAGGTCAGTTTTCTTAAGATCTTTTCAATCAGTACTGTTTCTTTTTTCAGCAGTATACATATACTAATGTACATTAGTATACATTCTGGGCCAACACTTCTAAAAGAACCTGCAGGGCAAGAGTTATTTCTGGAGTGACAGAACACTTGCACACAGACCTCATCCTTCCCATCTATTGAGGTACCAAGCTGTCCACTTAGAAAAAAGAGATTCAAAGACAAGGAGAGCTTTCACTGCTGTTCCCTTCCTCCTCTTATTTGCCCCAGGCACAGCTTCTAAGAAAAATCTTAGCAGTCACTTGGATGGCTCATTCATGTAAGTTTATCTAATTTCAGCATTTGTAATTCCCACCTCTCCTTTTGCTGTCACAAAAGTGCAATTGAACTATTTTACATTTTTCTAGAGGAAAAGAAAGATGTGCTTCTGGTAGCCTGAGAAGACATCATTTTCACAATCAGAACCCTACTTTGTTGTTTATGAGATCCCAGGTGCCTAGCAAACCCTGACATTAATGAGGCCTATGTCAAGTTCCCTATGACATCCATTGTATTTTTTAAGAGAAACTGTAGGCTAAATTTTAAGTGACCCTTTCAAATGTTTAAAAAAATTACTGATGACTGTAGCACTGATGTAAAACATGGGTCATCAGCTAGATTAACTCACTTTAAGACAACTTTTATCAAAGATCCCAGCTTCTCCAAGAATATGATTCCACCTGTTCCTCATCAAAATACAAATTGCCTCAGGCCACGGACTTTTGAGGTCATTTGCCAACAGTCAAAATACACATTCCAAGGGTTTCTATGGAAAAGCAGCAGCAGCCACCATTTCCTGGGATCTTTACATACACATTCAGAACTTAATGCTTTACACGCATTCTCATCAACTCCAAAAATAATCTCTGTAATTCGTGTTATTCTCTCACAAATGAGGACTGTTGGAACAGAGAAGTTAAGTAACTTGTTTGGTGTCACCCAATAAGGATGTGGCATCACAGTGTTTCAAACTGAGGACTCTGACTGTAAAGCCTATATACCCACAACCACCCACTGCTGTACATCTCCTCTACCTAAGAATGATCCAGCAAATCCTCCAAACCCAGAAAGGTTTTATTACTACCATTTTTAAGACCAGAAAAGAGAAGTATCATTTACCTCTCCGTGGCTGCAACGTCAGTTTGAGGACGGAAAACAGAACCTAGCTCTCAAGCCCCTGGTCAGCAAAGCAATGTGTCCACTAGCGCATCATGTTCTTTGGCCCCAGGTCAGTGATCATTCTAAAAGAGAAGTACAAATCACTTTATGAACACAAAAACATACAAATGCACATATAGCATGAAGAGCCAAATGAGGGAAAGCTGAAGACAGATAAAATTAGGAAAGAAAGAATATACATGTTAATATGTCCTGTTACTAATTAAGCCATTCCATAAATTCTATTGGCTAATTATAAAACATTCAGTTACTTATTTAGACATTTACTAATATAAAAAATTAAAACTTTGTGATGATCAAGATAGCATCCTATTGCAATCTTGCAACCAAATAATGGCATATGTATATACAGTCAACTAACAAAAAGTTAATTCTTATAGATGCAGTGATAGTACAGTGTTTTATTTCCTTACCTTCAGCAAGTAGTGGCTTTACTGATTAAGTTGGTCTATACCACAAGACTATTTTTCAGTTTAATAAGACAACAATGGAGCTTTCAGTGACCTTTCAAAATCCCAGAAGCAAAGCAATGAAATACTCCTTAAAATTAGGCTGTGAGCTGACAGTTTTCTCCCTAGATTACTAACAAACTGTCAAGCTTCAGCATTAGGTAATGATTGAGTGGAACTTAAATCCAAAGGAAAAAAAGGAAAGAAGGCAAGGAGGGAGGGAGGGAGGGAGGAAATGGAAGGAAAGGAGGGAGGGAGGAAAGAGAGGGAAGGGAGGAAGGAAAAAAGAAGAGAGGGAGGCAGGGAGAGAAGGGGAAGGAAGAAATAAATTCCCAAGTGAAATGAAAAAGCTAAATTTGAATTAAGCATTCCTAAAGAATTTGGCATATGAAGTACAACTAAGAGGGAATCCATATCACAGTTAAAGCCCACAAAAGTAAGCTGATAAAATACATTCTTAAATGAAGCTAAACAAAAGTCTCTGTTGAGAGACAACTTCCAACAAAAATGAGGATTAGTATATTTAGTCCAAGAAACACTTTTGTATTGGAGTTCATGTGTTGTTACTAGTATGCCAAAAAGGGAATGAGATTTTATGCATCTGAAAATTGACTAAAAATGAGGATCAAGCATGGAAAAAAAAAATCACTATTCTTGGGGTGTATGTTAGCAGTCTATATGCAATGTCACACCTTTGCATTCAAATACTAGTCACTGAGAAAATACACAAAGATACTGCCAGGGAAGATCTGAAGATGAACACAGTGACTAAAGATTAGGGATGCTTAAAAAAACAAGTATGGTATGCCAAATTTATACAGCCAACTGTGAACCATGGTCCTCAGAGTTACACATTCTTTGCCATTATTGTTCTTTTTAAAGCTGTATGTTCTTTCTCAAAGTATTAAATCATGACAAATCTTAAGCTGTTTGAAGAGGCACCTAATTTTTGGCAAAAGAGCCTGACAGGTAAACAGAGTAGACAGATGATCAGCTAGGTTTTGGTTTAAAAAAAAAAAAAGAAGCCTATAAAGTATATGATGATGTGTAGTGAAGTTGATGACAACAGCATGCCTGAAACAAAAAACCAGCGTCTAGATGTTACTGTCTACCAGCAGGCACACTGTGCAAGGCTCTGCCACAGGATTCCTCCTCAGGGCCCTAGTCAGCCACAGGTGGCCCCAAGCCACCCAGAGAAGTCCTAGGTGGCTGCCCTCGTTTTTGGTGTTCTTTAAAGCAAAAATCTTAAAGCTCTTAGACTTTGAATGATCTTAAGGGTAACTTTTACAGCTCTTAAATCTTAATGTTGGCTGAATGGATTCCCAAGGATAACTTTTACAACTACTCTTCAAAATGTATTTTCCTAATTGGAAGGACACTGCTGTTGTAATATTACTGACTGATTTAAGTAATAACTTCCTTTAGGCAACCTCATACCCTCAATTTATTCTCTCTGTAGATTTAGTTGTCTAATAAAAACAAAGTATGAATCCTGGCATCCAGGAAATCTCAAAGGATAGCAAATCTAAAGACAAGATTTATACCATCAAAACAGAGTAAGTGATGAAGCTGATGACTGCATAGGGCATAACTGAATCAAGAAGCAAAATAAGGTCTGTAGAATACAACGTTAACAGGGGAAAACATGCTATTCTCCCCTCAACTACAGACTTGCTGGACTTTAATTTTTAACCCACAAGGAGCTTATTTTATTAAGTAAAACATGCCACCTGCCACCCACAATTTCAAAAGGAAAATAAAGGGGAAAATCATAAGAATGCAAAAAGTTACACAAATGGACTAATATTTTAGACAATTAAGCATGGTTTTATTCTAAACCCAACACTCAATTAGTGCTACTGCATTTAGTTGCTTAGTACCATTTTTTCGTGGAGGAGGGTGAGAAGGAACATTTTATAGAGTTCAAAAAGAGTTTCCTACGAGGCAGATTGCTGCTAAACCCTACAGACTGAGATTACACACAGTGACCTGGACAACTTTGCTTAGTTAGCACCAGGGCTGTTTTAATTTCTTCATCAGTTTGACACAGCTTTTCTTAGTTAAAAAAAAAAAAATCAAGACTTTCTTTTCTTCAAAGCACCCAAGATGATACATCAACTGCTGCTGGACACCAGTACTAGGATATTTGAGGAAAATACAAGAAGAGAAAACTCTGGCTGGCAATTCAACAGAAGTTTTTCAATGATGCAAGAAGACTTAAGGACAGAGTGAATTTAATACACATACCGTTTAACTTCTTTTGCCGCCTATAGCGGACATAGAATTTTAACTTTCCTAGTTGATCTAAGCTCAAGGAATGCATGAAGATTCTACGTATGTGAATGTTTACTTCATGCTGAACTGTGGGCTACAGGAAATTATCTACTAAAGAGTAGTTACTTATAGTCGTAGATATTTATAAACCAAGTGCAGCTAGTGCAGTATTCAATTACAGCATCCACCCTCATATTTCAGCGTATGGGCAAATTACCAGTGGAGTGTCAAGAATAAATTCATTCTGCCCTACTGGCGCTTTAGATCCGGTTACACAATCCCGGGGCAGAACTACCTTCGCCTAGCCCTAGAGCATCAGGTACTAGGCACTGTACTAAGTTAGAGTCAGGACATTTTAAAGCGGGAGAGAAACTTATGGGTCGCCTGAGCCAATTTAGCCAGCCCATAATCCCAGGAATTTGTCACATCACTTGAGATCAGAATTAAATTAAGTTTGGATCTCTTTGAAATCTCTTAGCGCACAAAGTCAGGCTGCTATCACTACAAGGGGGGTCCGACACTGGTCCAGAAAAACTTGATGCGGATCTCGTGTCTCTTCCTCCCACCGTGAGAGGGCCAAATCGGTCGGGTCTGGCCACGAAACCGGGCGCGAGTTTGGGGGCTCGGCGGGGCCCGGCGGGGGCGGCGAGCGCGCATCCCCCCGCCCGCCCAGGCGGCGTCGAGGCGCGAGCAGCTCAGCCAGCCTTGCAGAGGGAGCTCTCGGCACCTCTGGGGTCCCTCTGCTCGCAACTGCAGCAGCGCCGCCTGCGCCACTCGGCGGAGACGGAGACCAGCGGCGTCAACGCGCGGACTGGGAGCGACCGCCGAGCACCCAAGCGGCGGTGGAAACTCGCAGGGCGGCCGGGTAGGTTCCGGGGACCGGGCGGGCTGGAGGAGGGGCAGCCAGAAAGGCGTCAGCCAGGGCCCGACACCCATACTGCACAGACACCCGGCTGAGCGCGCGGCACCAATGGCTCGGGACCCTTGAGCGAAGCGGGCGCTTAAGCTGGGGCGCGAAGATCGCCTCTAGGCAAAGGACACTAGCCGCGGGAGGGGCGGAGGGCAGAGGGCGGGCCGCGGCCGGGCGAGCAGCCGGGCCAAGAGCCGGCCTCGAGGGCAGAGACAAAGGAAGGAAAATGGAGTCGCCGGCGCGCGGGCCTCGGTCGCCGCAGCCGCCGGAGGCCTAGCGCGCCGGCAGGAAGGAGGCCTAGCGGGCGGGTGTGTGTGTGTGTGTGTGACGGTAGGGGGGGGCAGCCGGGCCGCGGAGGCGGCGGGCAATGGCGGCGGCCGCGCCGCAGCAGGGACGGTAGAGGGAGACAAACACCCCCCGGCGGCGGCGCTGGCGCCGGGCTACAGCCAGCGCCGACCGGAGCGGCCCCATCGTGACACCTAGAGGCGGCCCGCGAAACCTCCTCCACCCCGGGCCCCCTTACCTCCGCGCCACACCCCCCGCAGCGCCCGCTCCGCCACCGCTCCAACGCTCCGGCCACCCGGCGTCCCCGGCCAGCTCCGCGCACCCGCACTGGCTATCGTCGCTGCCGCTGCCGCCAAAGAAGCAGCTCCGCGCACGGTTTAATCGCTCCACAGGCTCGGACACAAAATGGCGGCGGCGCGGTGTAGTGCGCCTGCGTCGGCGCTGCCGGGGCCGCGGGTGCTGATAAGGGAAGGGACGGGTGGGGGGGCCGGTTGAGCGAAGAGTGGAGGGCGGGGGAGGAAAGGTGAGGGGAGGGGTTGGCGCAGGGCAGCATGGGAGGCAGCCCCGGGCGCCAACTTTCAAAAGCGGGCGCGATGGCGTCACGAGACGCACCGCGAGTCGCGTCACGCCGCAAGCGCCCTCGCCGGGTCGCGCGTGGGCTTTGCGGGCGCGGAAGCGTTAGGGCTCCCGCTGGGTGGGGCTTCCTGGGCGGAGGCCATCGCCTCTAGGCAGTAGAGAATTACGGGTGCACTTGACCTGGTTCTCTAGTCGCAGTCTCCCGTCCTGAACCCGTAGAGGGCGAGAGGGAGGGTGTTTGGAGGAAGCGTGCGCGGGGCAAAGCTCTGGAGCTGAGGCGGCTCTTGGGCGGGGCTCCGTCCCAATACCCGCCCTAGCCGGGACGGATCCGCCCTCCGAACTTCCCACGGCAGCCCGCCACCGAGAAAGTCTGGGCCGGTTCTTGGGTACTCCCAGCTCCTCAGAACAATCCAGCACCCGCGACGGCGAGAAGGGCTGTCTTTGCCCAGCGGCTTTTGGGGATCACTCTGCCCTAGAAGAAGGCCTCCTAAAACCGGATGCGAAAGAAGACGGGCCTCCTAATACCTCCTTTTGGTGTCCCAGGCCACCTCAGCCCGTAGAGGCCAGCGGAAGACCAGACTTAATGCTTTTACACGATCATAGCAGTCTTTTGCCGAAAGCACTTTGTTACTCGTCGCGGTGTAATTGTGTACTTTAAAACGTGCATTTTTTTGCCCTTGCCGGAGAGCTGTTGAGTAGTCTGTGAGCGGAGTTCTCCGGCCCCTCACGGGGCGATCGCCCCTCCCCCTCCCCAGGATGCACCTGCCGTAGAGTTCGCCAATTACTGACTGGAAGATGTTGGTACTTATGGGAATCTGACACAGGACTATATTCTCGACTCCCGTACCTTAAATATCACGGATAACAACAAATGCACCCAGAGTTAAAGGGACGGCTTCTGTTCCACTCAACTGAGTGTTCCATTCATTATAAGAACACCAGCCCAATATTGACAGGTCTGTTTTTTTTTTAAAAAGGAGTCAGAAATCTGGATTTTAAAAGTGTAAAATCTCCATATATTCAGTGTTTGCAACTGAATCATGTTTTTAAACTGCGTGAGCTGATTAAACCACGCGTGTGGGCTGTCAGTTTGGACCTCCGACTGGGAGGAAAGAAGTTCCAAGGCCAAATCCTAGGCAATCCAGCATTCAGACTTAGGGTACTGGAGGAGACAGAGGGAGCATCCAGGAAAGCAGGATATCCACAGTGTTGAATTTGGAATCCAAGGGCACTGAAGGTTTCAGAAAAGGAGTGGTCAACTCTGTCTAGTGCTGCTGAGAGGTAGACTTAGTGTCAAAGACATGGCTATTGGACTGGTCACCTTGATGGTCACTGGAGAATATTATTGGTGACTGGCTTAATTCATGTTGGTAAATCAGAGACGTGGACCTGACTAGAATGGGTTGAAGAGTGAACCACCAAGTGAGGAAAAAGAGCCAGCACACTTAGGCAACACCAGAAGTTTTGCTGTGAAGAGAGCAAAGAAATTTAGGGATGACTATAGAAGGGTATGGAGTCAAGGGACAGGTTTCAAAAGATGGGAGGGTTCTAGAGCATGTTTATGTGATACATTAGAAGTGATACAAGAGAGAGAAAGTTTTCTTGACCTATATGGGAGTGAGGTCCATGGGAGGATATAAGGAATCTAGGAGGATTGACCTTGGATAGGAGTAGGATACTTCTACTATGATAATTAGGGTAACAGAAGTGATGACGGATGCCAATGCAGGAGAGAGGGCTTTAATGCCTTGGAAGCGCTGTGTACCCTTTGAAGTTTGTGATCAAGAGTTTAAAGTTAAACCAGTTGGCCCAGTGTGTAGTTTTTCTCCAATAACACTCAGCTGCTTGGGTACAGACATGAAAAAAGGGGATAGTTTGGTTTTTCAACACCAGGGTTCAAGTTTTATGTTTCTTAGTCTCAGTTGCTAATAATTAGAATTAGCTAATATTCTGGAAAAGTGTGAAGTATTTGGAAAATTTACATGTGACCCCTTTTTCTAGAAGCCAAATGATCCCATTTGTCTCTTATGTACACCTAAGGACTCAAGCATAAAGAAATAGCAAACTTAGAGGAAAATTACCAGATACCTCTGGAATATTTGTACTTTGCATTTTCTTCAGCCCTCCCCCTCAAATAGTTCCTGGTATACTTAGGAACTATGCACTAGAAACAACACAGCTGAATTGCACTTAAATTCTTAGCTTCTTTTTTCTTTCTAGTACCTTTAATAATCTGATAAATTCACTTTCTCTAAAACTATCTAAAACCATCTTCCTTGTCTTTAAGAGTCAGCTACAAGAATGCCTTCTAAAGCTTTAATGTGGCAATATAAGGCAATATATTTAGATGGGAAAAGCCTAAACTGTACTTACAATTTTATTTACAGCTGCTATGGTCTGAATATTTGTGTCTCTACCTAACCTCCCCATGTTCGTATGTTGAAAGCCTAGTGCTAGATGTGATGGTATTAGTAGGTGGGACCTTTGGGAGGTGCTTAAGTCATTAGGGTAAAACCTTCATAAATGGGAGAAGTGCCTTATGAAAGGGCATTCATAGAGATCACTAGCCCCTTCTACCATGTGAGGACATAGCAAGAAGGCATCTATGAAGAGGGCCTTCATCAGAATGCAACCGTGCTGGTGCCTATATTGGACTTCCCAGCCTCTAGAACTGCGAGCAATAAATTTCTGCTGTTTATAAACCACCTGGTTGGTTGTATTTTGTTATAGCAGCCTGAACAAACTACATTTGTTCAGAAAGACAACAACTGTATATCAACTATATTTACAGCTATATGACCTCTGAAGCATCAGTTAGAAGTCAGGAATGGGGTCCAAGTGACCTTGGAGTCTGCTTTCTGAAGATAAGGATCCTATGGGCTGTTCTGACCAACATTGAGAAAATTCTGAGGATCACTAGGAAAGAACAAAATGAAATGTTTTCTTCCCCTTGTAGGAAATTGTGATACGTCTTACTTTGTAGAATCGGCTCCAAAGACCAAGGAATGGAGAGCCAAACCAAAAGGATAGGCTGTTTCAGGCTGGACAGAAACAAGCTGAGAGGGGAAAGTAATATGATAAGAACCTGTGAAACAGTTGGAATGATAAAAATGAGAGGTTTTTGTTCCCTGCTGCACTACTCCAGACTACCTCACCAGTGAGAACTGTGGTGATTTAAAACCACTCAGTGATTTAAGGAAGAGTTCTTCCCATAGACTGACTTCTAGGTTTGTAGTCCCCAGGAGTTCAGGGTATTATCAGCAGAAGGCTGTCAGCTTACCACATGGCACTGATGAAGTCACCACACTCCAGGGTCTGGCTCTCAGCCTCAAAGGCAAGACCAGGAAAGGCAAGAGTCTGCATCCTGAGAGTGGATTCCTTCCATAGCAACTTGTCAGGTTCAGGAGCTTGATGGGTAATTGGAGTGCTACTTTACTGACTGGCAAGTGGACCAATGTCTTCATGCTGGCAAAAGGTATGTTCTCTCCCTACAAGAGAGCCTCCTAGGAAGCCAAATTACTACAAAGTCTTGGTGAGCAGTTAAAATTATTAAGAGATGTTAGTTATGTGCCTTAAATGTTTAATATCACCCTCTCTGGATGCTGGAGTCAGATTGTCCCATATTCGAGTCTTGTCTTAGCTCCTTATTAGCTGTGTGATTTTGATGAATTAGTAACAACTAAACTGCAGGTTTCTTCTCTATAAGAAGAATGGTAATTGTACTTTACAAGATAGTAAAGATTAAATGAGAAAATACATGAAAAGCTATTGGCACAGTTCTAGCTACCAGTAATGATACAATAAATTTACACCATTCTTACTATTTCTTCTATTTTTATGCTTCTTGCTCCCTCACTCCCAAATCCACCTTCTGAAGGACACGGCCTTTCTAGATTCATAGATTAATTAATAGAATCAGTTACTGACAGCTTTCCCTTGGTCTGGGAGCCATTCTTTCTGGGAAAGGTGTACTTTGTGCTGTAGTTATCAGGAGAACAATTCTATTTCCAAGATCTTCCTTGGCTCCCATTGTCGCCCCATATAAAGCTTGCAGTAATCATGGTCATTTTGTTTGAAAATCTTTAAGCAAGAAAATCAACAAATGAAGGAGAGATGTGTTGATTTTTTTAAGTAACAATGAATGGGCAAGAATCTTCCTACCCACTTTGGGGGTAAGATCTGAACACTTGAACACTCCTGATGCCTCTGTATCTATTGAGGACATGTGTGAGATATAATCGAATTCAGCAAACATTCATTGAGTACCTGCTGTGTTCAACACCCTGTTATAAGCACTAGGGACACAGAGGTGACCCAAGATGTGCTTTCTGACCTTGAACTCAAAGTTTAGCTGGTCAGACTTTTTAAAAAACCAAACCAAACCAAAAAACAATTAATGCAATAATTGCTATAATAGGAAGAAATAAACTCAAAGGAAATCATTCTTTAGGACTACCTCATTTCAGCTGGGTATTAAAGGATTAGAAGGCATTAACAAGCAAAGCAAAAGCATGCAGGGTGAAGAGCCATAGTGAAGGGGTGTAAAAAGGCACAAGAGTAGTGGGGGATAGCAAGTCATTCAACACCATTGGACTAGGGTGTAGAGTATTGATGCTAAAACTTGTAAGACATTTGGAAGACTTTCAATGTCAGTCGCCAAGGCCCATCATTTTCTCCCAATATTTTAAAGGCCTGCCCTACCACATCATCTCCTACCAGACCACAGAAATTTTTTTCCTTATGATGTCTGCTTTCTTCTGATCCCTGTAAAAGCCATATTTATTTTTTAACTCTTAGCTCAAATTGCTTTCTGACGTCTAAAGGACTTTACCTAAACCTACATCCCACATTTGGGAAGTA